TCCTTTTAACAAAATGTCAAACCCAGAAATAGTCTTACATGTTGTGGCCCACAATCAGCGAGAAATTCCAATTGAAGGAACACCAATTGACTTTATGAATCTTTATTGTGATGCTTGGAATGTTGACCCATCACAGCGTCCTACCATTTCTGAAATCCGTAATAAGCTAGATAATATAGGAACAGAAGCTGTTGACAGTGTTCACTACAATGAACACAATAAACATAATATTAATATTAGTAATGATAAGGTCATAGAAAACGTGATTTCAATTGGTTAGTTATATTTAAGTATTTTGTTATTATAAATATTGTTGATAATTCTTAGTCATGACAAATTATAGATATAGAACAGGCTTTTCAAGACATACGGGTTGTTGCTAGTAGTGAAAACTATCGCGTGGACAGGGACGAAGAATCAGTTTTAAATTTAAATAAATTATTAGAAATCGATCCATATAATGCAGAAGCATTAAGAAATCGCGGAATAATCTATCGTAAGATGTACGAATGTGACGAATCGCTCAAAGATTTAAATGAATCATTAAAAATCGAGCCAGATAATGTAGAAGCATTGAATAATCGTGGTATAGTTTATCTAATGAAGAGAAGATATGAAGAATCACTCAAAGATTTAAACAAATCGTTAGAAATAGAACCAGATAATGTGGAAGCATTGAATAATCGTGGTATAATATATTGCATGAGAAATGAATGTGAGAAGTCATTTACAGATGTAAATAGATCATTAGAAATTGACCCGAATAATGTTGAAGCATTATGGGTTCGTGGATTAACTTATCATATTGAACAGAAATATAACGAAGCGTTTGTAGATTTAAATAAATCATTAGAGATTGAACCCAACAATACTTGCGGATTAACTATTCGTGGAGCAACTTATAGCAAGATAGGAAAAGATGAAGAATCACTTGCGGATTTAAATAGGGCATTGGAAATAAACCCTAATAATGTATATGCATTATGTAATCGTGGAATAACTTACCGTATGATGAAGAGATATGACGAATCACTTACAGATTTAACCAAATCATTGGAAATTAATCCAGACTATTCAGATGCGTTATGTAATCGTGGAATAGCTTACCAAATGTTAGAGAATTATGATAAATCACTTGCAGATTTAAACAAATCATTAAAATTCAATCCAAAGTGTGCAGAGGCATTATGTAATCGTGGAATAATTTACCGTATAATAGAAAATTAGATGAATCGCTTGCGGATTTAAATAAATCATTAGAAATTGATTCAAATAATGCATTAGCATTAAATAATCGTGGGATAATTTATTGTACAATGGGTAAGTACAAAAAATCTCTCGAAGACTTAAATAAATCATTAAAAATTGAACCAAATAATGCGGAAGCATTAATTAATCGCGGGGTAAATTATCGGATGATGGGCGAACATCAAAAGTCACTTGAAGATTTAAATGAATCACTACAAATTGATCGGGATAATTTATGGGCATTAAGAAATAGAGGTGAAACATACCGTATGCTAGGTAGATATGATAAATCTCTTGCAGATTTAACAAAATTATTAGAAATTGATCAAAATGATGCATTTGCATTAAGCGATCGTGGAGTAACGTATCGCATGATGAATATGTTGGAAGAATCGCTACTAGATTTAGAAAAATCGGTAACTATTGAGCCGAATAATGCTCTAACATTAAGAAGACGTGGTGAAACTTATCGCAAAATGGGGAAATACAATGATTCTCTTGCAGATTTAAATTTATCATTGAAGTTGGAACCAGATAATGCATTGGCGTTGAGAATACGTGGGGAAACTTACCGCATGCTGGGAAACTACAAAGAATCTCTTGTAAACTTAGATGCTTCATTAAAAATTGAACCAAATAATGCATTTGCATTAAGAATCCGTGGAGCAACTTATCGCATGGTGGATAAATATGATAAATCTCTTGAAGACCTATCTTCTTCCTTAAATATTGAATCGGAGAATGCATTTGCTTTAAGTAATCGTGGGGCCACTTATCGAATGATAGGCGAATATGGTAAATCGCTTATGGATTTAAATAAAACATTAGAAATTGATCCAAACAACGCATGGGCACTAGAAAATCGAGGAGCAACTTATCGCATGATGGGCAAATATCAAGAATCACTTGAAGATTTAAATAAATCATTAGAAATTGAATCAAAAAACGCCATTGCTTTAAGCAACCGTGGTGAAATTTATCGTATGATAGGTGAATATGACAAATCACTCAAAGATTTAAATAATTCATTAGCGATTGAACCAAATAATGCACGTACCTTAGAAAATCGAAGTGAAACTTATCGCATGATGAACAAATTAAAGGAATCTCATGCTGACTTAAATACACTACAAAATCTAGAAGAAGTTCAACATACAATGGGCAAAACTAAAAAATCTAAACTTCGCAAAGCATTTTCAAAATTTAAAATTATTAAGCACGATGTTGGTGAAAAAACCTAAAAAATTAGTATTTATGATTTAACATTTACGATGAATTATTTTCTTAATAAAGATTTTTGTAAAAGTTTTTTTCGGCGTGATGATATTATTAATCATTCTAGTATTATGAGTCACAATATCCAAATTCGTCAAATATCATTCCTCGTCCATAAAACAATCATATACGTACTATCCTTGTTTAGGGCTAGCGCGTATCTGCGATAGCATAATCTACGCGATTTTATCACAGAAGCATACGCGATAGCATATTTTGCATATTGGCTATTTTCGCATAATTAATAGAGCATAATCTGCGCATAAAACGGCTGGTATTAAAAATATTGGGATATCAAAATATCTCAGAGAGTAGACAGTCATTGAACACAAAACACGAGCATATTTTCGTGATTACCTGGTTGGTTACAAAATTACAACCCTGGTGATCACATGGGCTAGGTGCTGGGAAAAGGGCCGAAAATGACAATTTTTTCAAGAGTATTTTTTTACATAAATCAATTACTTAAAATACGAAAGTAGTTGTATTAATAAAATTTAGCATTTTCTTATAAGATTTACAATATAAAAATTGATCTTTTTTTTTGTCATTTTGGCCCTTTTTCCAGCACCTAGCCCACATATTTATACCCGAAACGCATAATTTGCAGCATAATTCGAAAATTTTATCGCATAATTTCGCATAAATCGAAATGTAAAGTAGGCAAATCACAATTTGTAATTCGTTATTTTATAATATTACAGTACTAGAAACGAAAACTTCATGAAAAAAATTCATATAAATCGATAAATACACATGGTTTATTGGATTATATAAGTATAAAAGATAGATAGACGAATATAGAGTAGGCAAAAAATGAATCTCAATCTCTAAAAAAAAGAGAAAAATGTTCTGTTAATAAATATTTTTGTTTTGTGCATTTTAAAATTCAAACGTAGCTTTTTTTCTTTACCTCTTTCAGAAAGTTGTGCCCAGGCTAACTTTTCTGTGAATAATATTATGAAAGATTAATTTTGGAGTTCTTTTTTTAAAGATAGAAATAATGTTTGTGACGATTTTTTGCTTGTGTAATTTTACGTTCCAAAAAAGCACTTTAAAGTGTATAACGATAAGTTATCCGGGCAATTGATTTACACCAGGCCAATCAGACGAATTTTCAGCCCGAGATTACGATGCCAAAATTTGATGTTAAATTAACAACTCTGCATCTGAATAATCTAAAAAATGCACTACATTCACAGGTCTTGGGCTTTCGAACTTTTGCTTTTACTATACGTATTGTTTATATTTGTTAATAGAATAGAGGTTTAGACATATTGGATTTGGTAATTTGCTGCTATAGCGAAATATCACTAGTCTCTTAAAAATTATGTGATCTAATACAACTGGATCAGTTATTAATATAGGTACTAACTAGAGTTGGGACTCAAAATGAAACCTCCTCAAAACTAGTTTTAGAAAGCTCTAACCTTTCTTTTCTCTTGCATTTGGGTAATGATCAACACTTAACAGTTTTCAATTGTTTTTTTAAGTATATTATTAGAAAATTTTTTTTTTTTTTTTTTATTATATAATATCAAGTAGGAAAATAAAGATACATGAATATATCAATTGGATATTAATGTATAACTAATTGTTATTCCTAAACTACACTATTGTTGCTATATATTA